AAAAGTCTCATTCATTTTAAAAGAAAAAATTCGTAAATTATTTTTATGATTCAAAAATAAACTAAAAAAGTATTGTATAGACTATTATAGACTAAAAAGTAGAGTAATTGTCGTCAAAAATATGTGAACAAATATTTTACAAAATAAGTCGTAAAACTAAATGGAAATTATGTTTGACTTATTTATATATAATATATTGTTAGCAATTTCTATATACTGTATACAGTATACAGTAATTCTTGTAAAATCCCTGATATCCTCAAGCGATTAGATGTATACGACTTTTGAAATAGTATTTTTAAAATCACATTTAATTGCATTTTTAATTCATTATATTGTATATGAATGGTATAAATATGCGGTATTTTTCGGAAACAATACATATAATGTATATAATAAAAAAGATAAGAGGATTAACCAAAACGTTAATTTGCTTACCGTTTGTCACTTTTTTCTCTCCCGATTGAGCGGTAATGCTGTGAAAGCAGACACTCTTCGGATTCTGTCGTAGACTGCGATTAAAGCTGAAGACAACGGCCGACCCCTCTTCAGACTCCGGCGAAACCGCCTCCCGATTGATAGCATCCGATTCGTTACCATTAGATCCATAGCAAGCACTGGACGTCTGGTCCAAAGTGGTGGACGACGTCGACACGCTTTGATTGGTGTCGTCAGCCATTGCACCGATAGTCACATCACTGTTTGAATTGTCTTTATTAACTTTATTAATACTTTGCGACACATTAAGACTCGAAGACATTTGTGATATATTTGTGTCACAATAAAGTGGATTCACTTCAAAATTAATTGCTGTTTATATTACTATTTGACGGCAAAAAAAAGTTTACATTCTTTGCGCTAACTTTTCACGTCTGAATCGATTGGAAATCAAACGACACTTTTTTGCTTTTTATTTAATATATGTTACAAATGAAAATATTTTCTGCAAAAAAAAACAGAAAAAATTCAGTCAGAATTAGTTGTGTTTTGTTTGTTAATTGAAGTAAAAATAGCAACAAAAAAAGTCTAGTTTTTGCCGGAATTTTATATTTGATTTCGAAATATTTAACAACAACTAAAAGTATTCATACATTTAGCACACATTCTGGCGCTTTAAATGTGTTACAGAATTACAATACATAACAGCACTTCAGTCTCTCTTCGTTTAGTTCTGAAATATTTTATATTAAAGTAAAGAAATTCATTCATAACTATAACGTCGGAAACAAAACAAAAATTATAAATTCCCAGACAAAACAGTATTATTTAAAAAACAAATTCACATTTATTATTTATTATATATTAATGCGAATAACTTTTTCATAAGGCAGTAAAGCCAAACACTTTATATTTCAAGAGTAAACAAAAACGTTAGACAACACAAAAAATCTAGCGTTAGTTTTCAGTGTTTCGACATTCAGTTCATTCATTGAACGGCTGAAAAGGGAAGGAAAAAATATTTGCGTTCAACTGTCTTATCATAAGCGAGAGAATCACTAACTATTGGTATTAGTTTTGTTTATACTCTACTCTACTCTCTAATAGCTTCGTAGAGGAGAAGGATGTGTAAGTATCCATAGGAACCCAACCCAACACTACACCATTCAGTACTGCACACACACTCGCACTCACACTCACAGCACACATACACTGCGAAAACCCGTCGCACATATTCTCTGACAAATTCTGTGAACGATTCTGTGATGACTACCACTTCATCCGCACAGACATTGAATACGCGCTCTCTATAGTTGGAAATCACAATAATTTATTGAATTTATAATTTCTGTCGTCTATTTTTTTCTCGTCTAACAAACTATAAGGATATGATTTCATCAATTTTGTTGTCAAACAATCATTTTTGTTAGATTTTATGACTAAACAACTAAATGACATGGTTCTGTTTTTGTAGCCAATGCTAAGACATGTATTAAATTGTTATTAACAACTCCTTGTGAGGCTATTTATATCGATGCTATTATTATTAGTTTTTATTATTATTCTTATAGACTTTTATACACTATGTATGCAATAAAATAAGTCACAGAATTGATTCAAAATATATAGTGTAGTACTTATGGATGCACTTAATTAAAACTATTGATGTAAGCACTGGCCGTTATATTAGGGCATCACTTCAATTATTACTAAATACTACACAATGCATGTATCATAATCTTTGTGTTTTTCTTGAAGAGATATATTTTCTGTCAAAACATAATCAAAAGTAACATTAGTTTGAATGTCAGCATTACTGTACTGTAGTCTCTATTTGTTTCAAATAGGAAATACATTACAGTATTATTATTATATATCTACACTATTTATAAATATACAGTACAGTGTAGTATACGTTACAAATGTTGTACAATATATCAGTATTATTGTTATTTATATATAGAGATACTGTATTTCCTTTTTATATAGTCTTTTATCCGCATCTGAGGGCGTCTTTCACATAATTTAACAGTAAATTCTGCTAACAAATGATTTTATAACGATTTTATTATAACATAGAATTGTTACCAATTTTTCATTACTTTAATTACAATTAATTTTCAATTAGTTTCTAATCTAATTATAATTGGGGGCAATTTTATTTATTTTTGAATCAATTGCTATAAGATTTTTAATATAAAAAACATTTTCCAAAAATGCTATTATATTGGAATTGATTAAATTGATCTATGACATTTTCTGGTACTGTGGTTAAATAACCTTTGTTATATCAATTTGTTATATTTAATGGACGGCAATATATTGTCAATTCTTAAGTTACATCTAAATCCTAAACTAAAGGTCGACTGACTTTTTCTTTGTTATGCATAAAATTTAATATCACGTAAAAAAGATGACACTTTATGTAATTAAATGCATTAATAAATGAAATTCAACTAAACGTATAGTCTGTGTGACAGTTATTTCATATAAAGACTGGTGGATATGATTCGCGACGTGAAACCAAAACATAAAGTAACTTATAATCAAACAAATTATTTTTATATTCTGTGTTAAATTGCAATTATGTTTGAGTTTCTTATACATTATCTGTTATATAATATAGTATGTGTTGTCTTTCACTCTCTGCCTCCCATTCCTGCCCACAGTTCCCCATTAGTTGCAATGCTTTCAATAGTAGTGCACATTATATGTTGGGTTGAATACAATTCTGTGATTCTTTATAGCGTGTCATCAATTTTTTGAACACAAATCTAAACCCAAAGGACTCGATAAAACTTAGCAGTTATTAATAGCATGGGCTGGAAATTAAGAGTCAAAATAGCGCACAAAATAAGTGGTAAAACATTATAAACACGTCAGAGAAAAAAGCAATGGCTCTGTCGTTAATGTAAACCAAAATTTNTTTATTGCCTTTAGTTTTTTTTCGGCAGATTTAATATATCACAACGAATTAAAGTATCCTTTTTTATCAAATGAAATATATATTAAATATTAACTTATATTTTGTTTTTTCAGTGATTTATATACGAAACTTTACGCCACTTTCCCGTTGCGATAATTAATTGTATTTTTAGTGCAAAACATTTGATATAAGGTTTAAACTTATTGATTGCGGAAGTGGTTTGATTAATATTGAAGTTATATTTATGATTACTGGATACCAGAATATGCACTGAACATACATGTTGTGTACAGTATTGTAGTGATTATTAAGCGCTGGTTGTGAGCACTGGATACTGTCAATCGGGTAATACTTGATCTCCGCTATCGAGTGCCACAAATACAACGAAAACATACAAAATATGAGTGAAACAGAGTTAATGTCTGAACTCGACTTCAAGATACGGTATAATTGAAACATCAATTTTGCATTAAATATCTAATGAATGATGTACTTGATATAAATGGGCACAAAATTAATTTATATTGTTAATATGAAACGAAAAATAATTTTATGAGGCTATAAATAGCAATTATAGTAATGCTCAAGAATTAAACTTGATAATGTTTTTGCAGATACCAGAGCTAAAAACTATTATCATATAATGCTGTAATACTTTGCTTAAATAACTACATGTATGCTAAAAATATAGTAATTGTGAAATTTTATGTGTAACATTATTAATATCGTATTCTGTTTAATCTAGTTATTAAATTCAAGTAATTAAAGTATGTTCATATAGATATTCTGTATTAAATTCATAAATATAAGCACAGTATTATTACCCATGAGAGCCAATCAGTAGCAAAGTAGTTAATAAATGCAAATGATTAAGACCATAATTAAATATCCGTAACCGATTTGTTAGTAATTATGATATAAGAATCATATAATAAATTATAAGTTATAGTAATTTAAATTATTTATTCTTAATATCTTTGTTAAGGGATTCTATTATTAGTTATAGAGAGCCTTTTTGTATTTGCTATTGATATGCATTAATTAGTTATATTAATTAATATATATATATATACAAGATCTTACTGTATACAAAATTAAAGTGTATTGAAGTGCATTGAGATTATATTTTAGTTACAAAATATTTATAATTACATAAAATTAGTAAAAGTAATTAAATGTTTCTAGACTTTTGCTGTTATCTTTTATCTAAGAATTTCTTAATAAACTTATTGCCAGACATTTACATAATTGTCTTAATTTATTTGCAGCGACAAAAGCGACGATGATTTGTACGGATGGCAGGCATTGCCTGACGTACTGTTAGAAGAGATATTCAGTTTGCTATCGATTAAAGAGAGACACAACGCGTCTCAGGTGTGCAGACATTGGTTCGCAATATTTTATTCATCAAAAGTTTGGTCTAAATTTGTGTTAAATGACACGACTTTGACTAAAAGGAAATATAATTACTATTTAGGATATCAGAGAACACTCGATCACTTTAGGACTCAGGTGTTTAGCCGATCGTTAAATTTACATTAGTATAAATTTGTGTATAAAATGTTATTTTACAAAATAGTATTTCTTATCAACAATAGCATATAGTCATTAACTGTATTTTAAAACATTTACCTTATTATGCCATCAATAAGGTATTCCTGAACCGAATGGGCCTTAATTTGCGTAAAATAATAGTCAAACCGATGGATAACTTTTTCAATTTATATGAGTTTATGAAAATGTTGTCATATTTTGCCGAATTCTACGATCAAAACCCATTGCAAAGAGTGAATGGATTGGACTTCACTTTCTCTTGTCATCAATTGTTAGAAAGGGATGGAAAGGAAGAGACAATTTTCGGCACCGGAGGAAAGCTTTTGCAATCACTGATGAGACTCATGCGAAACCTAAATGGTATGGCATTTATACTTATACTCAAACTTTTCTCTTGAAATTACAATCTTCTCGACAAATATATATAAATATCATATGAATTAAAATTTAATATCATATAACATATCATATCTTATATAATCGTTTTGCAAATAAAATTAGTTATCATTTATTGTAATAATGATAAAACACCTGATATATTGCTAACACATGTATGGTGTATGAGAGGGAGTGTAAAGGGAGAGACAATTTGAACCAAATTAAAACCAATGAAACAAAAGCTTTTTGCATTCTTTACATCAAATATTACTTAACAATCAAATACTGTTTTATTTTATGTTTTATTTGATATCGAAAATAGATTAAAACTAAAAATTATATTAAAACTAATGATAACAGAATATTATGTTAATATAGGGAGGATGTACTGTATAACATGGTTATGTTAGTAGGTATAGTAAAGGCACTTATCATTAGCAATATTAAGTTATTTATAAGACATTTACTTAAGATTTAATTAATTATGAAATGATGTTTTCTTTGTCTGTTTTATTTCAGTGAAACCATTCATTAGTGAAATTAAATGATACGCTATTGTAGTTGTAATATAAGCCAACTATTTGTTCAAATAAGTGGTGGGTTTTTAATTTATTTTCAATAAAAGTCATACATTCTCTCCACAGTGTATGTCATAAATAGACAACAAATAGATTTTTAAATAAAGGTTTTATATAGTGTTATATTAATATTATATACGTTTTATATAATATAAAAATATATATCCCGTAACTTATATCTTATTAAATGTTTGCAATTGTATTGCTTTTCTAATAACGCCAGCAAAATGAACAATATTTACTTTTTTTCAATTTTCCAAAAATAAATACTTTTTAAAACATTTTATATTAAATAATATTTTCCCTGAGTTTTATAGCACTCGTCGAATAGTTTCACAATTTTATTTTATTAAGATTTAAAATATTAATAAATGATATATCAGTTTAAATAAACAGATCATTTCATTAACACATTGAAGATAAAGATTTCGTTTATATTAAAATTTGTGGAATATTTTTAAATATTTGACATTTTTATAACAGAAAAATATTTGGTAGTTTTTAATATACTTGTAACTATAAATATTTGTTATAATTGAAAATAAAAATTTTTGAATTATTTTTAACCACAATTCAATATGAAGTTTATAAAATAATTTTTTGAAAATGAAAACAAATTGCAACTAAATATTGGTTTGAAACTGACTTTAAATTTAAGTAGACTTTTCTTTAGAGAGCAAATCGAGTGTAATATATAACAAATGATCCAAAATAAAGTTCAATACAATACTGTAGTCGTTATATTGATTACATCCTATTATTATAATTGTGTATTTATTTGAGTTCTTTTATAATACAATAGAATATCAGAAATTCAAACAAAATTCTCATTATTGAGTAAAAATATATTTGTAGTTAAATTTAGAGTTCTTTAAATATCAATGAAAATTCAAATATATGTTAAACATACCAAACTTTAACCTTGATAGTCCTGTAATAATTTAATATACTGTAGTTAATTTTGCCATTACAATTAACAAATACCGTTTAATTTGATAGTTTTATCCTGTTTTAAACCGTTAAATTAAATAGTTAAATAAATTTTAATTGAATAACACATACTGTATATTGTCAATAATATTGTTCCAGATAAATTGAAATTACATTTATAAAATATTTGTGCATAAAAATATTACACATTATTTATTTAGGGAAAACTTATTCAAACAGTTCTACTATAAACTTCAGAATTCGCTTAGCAAAGGGAAGGCTAGAGGATTTATAGAGGATTATCTCAGCATAAAACAGTGCAATATTTTTCACACTTATATCACAAAAAGGGTTGAATTTTGGTATGTATGTGTGAAAAATTATACTATTTATGCTACGATAATTAATCCAAAGTTAATCCTCTAGCCTTCCCTTTGCTAAGCGAATTCTGAAGTTTATAGTATAATTCAAAAACATTAATTCATAAAAATATATAGCATTTCGTTAACATATTTCTTGGTGTGAATTTATAAATTTTCATTGAAATAATCTATAATTAAATACAACAATTTTTGCTCATTTTGATGTGTCCTTCGCTCATCAAAACACACATCAAATATTTGTTTAATTTTATGAAACATTCAATAAAATGTTACGAAAGGCAACAGAAGAGAAAGTGTCACTAAATGTCATTCATATCATTAATCCGTCATTTATTTGTTTTAAGTCTTAATTAATAATTTTTTTTCAAAAAGAAAATACTTTACAATTTAACGTTAACTTTGGATTATTTACATTAATGGTTACATTTTATGCCAAAATCTATATTTAGGTCTTCAATACCTATCACTTCGAGAGCTATTACTGGAGCCAAACGAAGCCCAGTATCTGTTGGACGACGTGGCCGTCAATTGTTGCCAAACACTGACCACATTAAAAGTGATCAATTGCTCCAAACGTCCCTATCCTATACTACATGTCGGAGTGTTTATCAATTTGAAAATGTTGGTCATTTCTCCGCAGGTATTCAATCGATTCAATATTTAAGTCATATTTTAAATAGTCGTAATTTTGGGATTTTTAATAATCAACCACTATTTGCATTAAATCTTTGACACAACTCGAAGTAAACCCCTAAATCCAAACCAAACCTTTATGTATAGTATTTAGTGTATTTAGTAAATTCTCTATTGAGTACTTTCTCTTTCTTACAATACATAAGAATACTAAATATTAATTTTTAAACAATAAACAATCTTTTATCAAAAAGAAATGTTTTAACTAAAATTCTTTTAATTAGTTATGAATTTGGTATAAATAAAATATGCAAATCAATGTACAGTAAAACAGGAATGTTTTAAATAGCTAATTAAATATTAATTAAAAGTTGTAGTACTGTATTGTATGACTGCACCAGAATATCATTAATTTGATGAAAATCTAAAAAGCAATTAGTGTTTAGTTTTGTTAATCACACTTCATATTCAAAGTTAATAAATATCATGTTTTCTAAATATAATTATTCTTTATATAAATATTGTACAAAATATTAAATTCATTACTATATTTAGATTAGAATTTTATATTAATTTAATGGCATAACATTTAATAGTTATAAAAGTATATACAGTATACCTTATTCAAACGTGCGGTGAAAGTGGCCAAATTATCAGTGACTCTCCCTTTCACTGCACCCCTACTTTCCCTGCATTACACGGGGCTCTTGAGAGTACAGCACAGAGCCCCGTGTAATGCAGGGAAAGTAGGAGTGCAGTGAAAGGGAGAGTCACTGATAATTTGGCCACTTTCACCGCACGTTTGAATAAGGTATACTGTATATTAAATGTGATTTGAATAATAAGTGTTTTCAATATAAAGTATTGATAATTACAGTTATAATGATTGGAATATATACAATATTTATCACCATATTCTTTAAAGTGTATATCATTCATATAAAGTATATAATTACTTAAAACTGGTTAATTATAAACCAATGTGTTTAATATCAAAACATATACACAGATATTGTAAAGATTGATGACTAAGTCAACTAAAATTATTGAATAAAATTACTAACAATTTCTTTAGTGAAATGTATGCTAAAAATAGTTTGATCAGTATTTTTATTATACAGAATATTATGTATGTTGTTATGACTCAACCAAAATCATAACACTATTTGCGACCAAAAGTCATAACAATTTTGTTGAACAACTGATGAGAGAAGTGGTGCCAAAATAATTTACAAAGACATGTGTGATGTATGTATTACTCGTATATATACTGGGTGTCCGACACGGCCTGTCAGTCCCGATACCAGTCTCTCTCTCTCCATTGTCGGTAAGTTTAATGCA